ACCTACAACACATCAAATAAGGGAGTTCAACAACAAAAAGGCTGACTTCTGTACTGCTCTGAACTTTCTGCCATTCAAGCAGGGAACTGGGATCACACCAGGGCCAGCACTGGTGGCCTTTTTGTTAATTCCAAAGAACTACATAAATTACTGCAGCCCAACATGAAAAAAAGGGCCTTGTTCTAGATTAATGACCTACAGGGCGTATCAAAACTTTGTGTGTGTACCTTACCTTTCGTGTGGTCCCTTTGGATTCAGTGATAGGGCTCATTCAGAGACAACAACTCGAGCAGAAGTATGTAATGGGATTGCAGGGCTGCACACAGCAACAGAGTTATTGCTAGAAAAAGAATAGTTTTGAAATTACTTCTTCATTTCAAAGGCTTCATGTAAATTGCTGCAGATTACTGAGTAAAAAAGCGTGACCGAATGACCCACAGTTGGTAAAAAACGAAGTGTTTACAGCCTGAATTCACCCATACCATGTATTTGTTTATAGTCCTTTTTCATCCTGTTTAGAGTACACAGGCTTACACAGATCTTTAATACTTAAAACAAAGTCAGAACCAGTTTTAGTCTCTAATCTCACTGGTGTTTACTGAGGCAACATGTCCAAAAGGGTCTGGCTGTCAAGAGAGACCAACCCCTAAGCATGTGTGGCTGAAGCAGGGTGGTTAAAGAACTGGATCTGGAAAATCGCTGTGAATCTTCCTTTGCGGGCTTAAATCCCACCAGCTATGGATTGGTGGCAATCCCAGGTACCGAAATTCTCCTGCAGCATTTCCGGGATTGTCAGTGGAGCTTGAAATCTAAAACGTTTTCCTTGGTTCTTGTTCTGTTCTAATCGGTCCTGAGCCCTTGGAGCTCTCATGTATTTTATGGGAGACTCTTTTCCAAAGCTGTAAGAAAGCAGACGCAAGGCCCTCGAGGGCTGCAGTCCCAGCACACGTTACAGCAGCTGTGTGACTGCAATCTATCTGCCTGTGAGGATTAAATTGTCATCTTACGCTCAGTGCTGGCAAAAGCTGGGCGTGTGACAGAGATGGTGACAGTGGGTTTAACGTCTGGGTGGCAGTTACTTCGAATATCGCTCGTACCACACGCGCATCGAGCGAGTCAGGCAGGTTAGTGGTTGTGATTGGGATCAGTGTGAGCAGTCAGCTGCCATTGCCTCACCGTCCTTTCTGCACCCTGCTTGCTGTCACGCAGCGTGTCTCACTGCAGCACTGCTTCCTGCTAAACAGTGTTCCTCCCAAAGGCAGGCTTTAGTTAACACACCCCACGTGGCAGCGTCGAGCTGTCTCTCCTCCTTGCTGAAGGACACGATTCCACCTTTACAGACAACCTTTCACAGGTGAAATTCGTGAAAGAAAATCCTCTGACAAGGAGCTGGGAGGACACCTCCAAGCCAGAGCAGCACCTGAGGACAGGCTTTGGCTCTTTGCAGCTTCGGTTCACAGATCAGCGTGTTTTCTGAAGCCACCATCCCTGTCAGTGTAAGTTGGCATGGCAGCCTGCAAATCACAGCAGTTCAGGAGCCAGCACACAGCGGCCTTTGCTGCCTCTCCTCCACGGTGGCCATTCCTGGCACAGGGGCAGTGTGGACAGCTCCCAAAACTGCTGCAGTGTGCACTGCCAGGGCTTGTCATCTGTGCACAGCCAGGGCTCCAGCAGTTGTTGTGTGGCTTTACAACTCCTGCCCACTGATGAAGTGGCAAAATCCAGAACAATGATGCTGGCATAGCACAGCTCACCAAAACAACCTCATGGAGGTTCCTGTATCAGCAGGAAGTACAAAGGCTTCTCCTTTCTGTTCTCTACTGAGTTGGTGCAAACAGCTTCGCTCTGTCTGAAAGCAGTTTATGGTCCTGAGCTGCTAATAGGAATTCCCACTTGTAACGGTGATTCCCCCACGTTGGGGTTCTAAGGCACAAAGACTTGCCCTGCATCTTTTTGAACTTCCCTCACGTTCAGTTCTGAAGCCCCCACAGCTCAGACACTTTCAGAAGGACACTGGATGTTAAGTGCACCCAAGTGTGATTCACGTGTGAGAGATGTAAGGGGTTGTTTTTCCAGCCTGCTTGTAGGATTTGCCATCACTCTCCCATCTTTTAAAGGGCTGTTTTTTATGCTGATGGACCAGGGCTGAGTGCCATCAGAGTTCTTGACTTCCTTACCACACTCTGAAGATAAACCAGCAGTTTATACTGGGGCACTTGAGGTCTATGCCTCATTATGCCAAAATCTTGGTATGCTTTATTTTTAAAAGAAGATGCTCATTTTTGCAGACTCTCTTTCCACTGCCAGAATGAAGCTGATTCTTGGTTGCACTTATTTCCACTCTGTGTGATACACACCATGACAGGTAGCGGAAAATACTCATCTGCATCTGTTTTATGATTCAAACACTAGAGGACACCAGTCTGCAGATCCTGTAATAAAGAAATCAGATGGATTTTGTAGTGAGATTACACATCATCCATTTCTGTGCTGTGGCCTTCCTGTTAATGTGGTCACTGGGTTTGGGAATTTTTTTGTTAATATTATTTGATTCAGCTGAATCTCTGTTCAGCCTTTTTCTTTTGACTGAAGCAGCAAATGTGGTTCCTTAATCCTCCCTCTAAACCTTTGCTGGTAGCTACTAAGTGGTGTTATTTATAGTCCAGGCATGACTGAATGGCCCATAATAATGGTGACTCAAGCCTATAAATTTTTATAATTATTTAAAGAACTATTGGAGCCATGTTGTGTTGCAAAGCTTATACAACAATGTAGAGAGTCTTTAGTGGTTACTCATCAGTTTTATTGCCCTTCCTCTTTCCTGCCCAACTTCACTGCAATGAACACCTGAACCTTTTGCATACAAAAGATTTCTTGCCTAGATTAGTTGAGGAGAGGAAAAAACCAATTCTCTTGGTTTTCTGCTATTTTTGTTCTTCATTTGCAGTGCATTTGTACCAAAGAGGATGTCACTCCAGAGACAATTTGGGGCATGGGGCCAAGGGGTGTCTGTGTTTGGTGACACTTGGCCAAGTCCTAAAAGTTCAAGTTGTCAAAAGAGGGAGGGACTTACCACCTATGGATTTTAAAAACTGAAATCAGACACAGATCATGGGTCAGGTGCTTATCTGAACCAATTTCTGTAGTTCTTCTGTCTCCAAGGAGGAGTTGGGGGTAGGAGAGAGGATCCAAGCCCACTTGCACAAAGGCCACCTGGCCTGAGCAGGTCTAGAAAACGAGCAACCACAACGCATGGAACACATCTTTTATTCAGTAAGCAAGCAAGCACAGAAGTATAATGTGTAGTGCTTAATATTCATACAGTACTAAAAATATAAAAATAGAAATAAAATTTCACTGAAAGCATTTTCACTCACAAATATACAAGGAAAAGTGCTGTCAAGCCACATCATGCTACACCACTTGCCAGTTGCTGAACTGACAGTTTCCCAACAGAACTGAAACACTAAAAGCTAGTCCTTTCCTCACGTTATTTTTGGTGAGCCTGAACATTTGACTAGCAAAAATGGGCCTCCTGCAGCTGAGAACCTTAAAAGCATGGATGTCATTACATAAAGGAACAATAAAGTAATTTGGGAGAGTTCTACAGTGATAGCAGCCTGCTTCAGGCTGTTTGTGTACCTGTCGTGGAGGTTGAAAAAAAAACAAACCAAAAAAAACCAGAAAGAAACTTGAATCCTGATTATAATCCAGACCAGCCATGGCTAACAATTCCCAGAACTGTGTTCTGCATGGATATTTGTGCAACACTCCCACCTGCTGGCACATCCACCAACTCTCCTCCTCGGATGCTGCAGTTCCCTCTGCCTGCTTTTACCCTGGCACCAAGATTCACCTTCCCCTTTGGGCTGGTGGAGTCCAGGAGCACAAGCCATGAACAGAGCTAAGTGCCCTCACCTTTTAGTGGAACCAGAGGCTACCCAGCACCTCAGCTTCTCTGTGCCAGTGGAAGAAATCCACATCTACACAGGAAAGCAATATGGGTCAGAGACTGATTGTTCAAGAAAGCCCCTGCACCAGATGCCTTCATTTCAAGCCCAGTTTTGTGGGACTGAGCTAGAGTTGGGGGCTTAAGGATCTTCTGTTTGCTGACCCTCCCCATGGAGCTGACCTGCATGCATGGGGAAGCCAGCTGTGAGCTGTCATCCGTGAAAGCACGGGTGGGTTTTGGGATCAGGCTGACAATCACAGCCACACATCATAAGAAGCCTCATCCTGCAGAATATACCAGTGCACAGAAAACCTACTCAAATCATACAGATAACGGTGTGCAGAACCTAATGTGAACCCCACTTGGATCAGTTACTATTTTGGGATGGGATTTATTTATACTTGCTATACCTGCTATAAAAATAAATGTGACGATTAACCCCTGAGATCGTTCTAACGTAATATTTTGGCCTGTTACTTGTTTCCCTCAGAAATCATTATCTTTTTTTTTTTATTATTATTATTTTTATTTGGTTTATGGACATTTATTTAGGTTCTAGTGACAAGCTTTTATAAAACACATTAAATAATCAATGTGGGGCTGAAAAGGTGTACATTCTAGTTGCATATATGATACATACCTTATACGTATATAATACATTCCATAACAGCTGAAGGTTCTAGTATTGCCTGGGAAGTTCTTGCATGTGGACACAGGATTTAAATACTAGAAGATAAACAGCTGCTTAGGATCAAAGATAATTGTATCTGATATGGTTTACTTGGATTGTTTTTTCTTTCTTTAAATCTTATTACACATAATATTACAATAATAGCTACAGTAGTTTGTCCAGCAGGTAATAAACGAATGCATAAAGCACTTCTAGCTATATCTGGATATCACAGGCATGCATTTTTTATAAATAAAAATCGAATGTGAGGTCACATTTTCCCATCTTCTGTTTATAAACTAAATCAAATTTCTCATTCATTGAAACAGTGAAGATGTCTTTCCATAGCCCAACTCGTCCTGAAACACAGAGAAGGAACACAAGTCAGAGAGTGGATGTAACAGGCCCTTGAATATCTACAGTTTAATTGTGCACTGAGTATCATCTGGGAGATTTTAATCACTCTTGGCCTTGGCTTTCATTGAAAGCTTAATGAGACCTAAGGCTGTTCATTGTCTTACCCAATTATCCTGCTACAACCCTTTAAATAAATACCATAATAATAATAATAATAATAATAATGGCCAGTCTTCGCGAGCGAAGATCCGGGGAAGGTCTTTCCACCTTCCAGCCTGCGCATTGGATTTTTTAGGTGAGACACAGTGTGCGCGGAACTGAGCCCACCCTTTAATCCTAAGGTTCATCTGCCGGGGCCAAGCGAGCTTGGACGGTGGCAGCGAGGTCCTTAGGACGTAGGTGGGTTGCCTTTAAGGGCTAACGAGCCCCACCTGCCCGGGAGTGGCCCTGACCGGGAATCGAACCCGGGTCTCCGCGGTGATAGCGCGGCGCCTTTACCCCCTAGACCACCAGGGGCTCCAAATAAATACCATACACCTCATCATCTGCACCAGCCCAGCATTATAGAGGAATAATTCACTTCTGTGTGAGACTTTAGCCTTAATCAGAAATGAGTACAGATTTGGGGCTGGGTATTCATTTAAAGGTAGATTTCTGGTTTCAGTGCAAACTAGGGCTGTTGAATAATTCCAACAGCCAATTATAAATTTCCAAATCACTGTGCCTCCAGCACAGTTAGGGAGTTAGGGAAGTATCCAAAAGGTACACGGAATCTGGAGTATTAAACTGATTACTAAAGTGTGGTATTTTCATTACTAATTTCTATTATTTTGTGTCTAGAGATAAGTTCAACAGATGAATTTACGCTCCTCCATATGGAGAGGTTCATTTGTTAAAAGTGAGTGCCCAGTTTCTATCTATGAAAGACAACAAGTGCCCCACACCAAGTCTGGACCACCTAAATTTTAATTTTTGAGCAATAGGAAGCTTTGGGTGGATGCAACCTGGACACTGAACTCCTTCCTTGTGTGAAGTATTTATCCACTCTGCTGGACCCAGAAAGTGACATAACCTGGTGACACTGCTCACCCCTCAACAACTGTTCCAGTGCAGTCCAAAATTTATTTAACTCAAAGTCAGCCAGGGTTACTTGTGGCTGAGTAAGCCCCATGGAATAAGCAGACTGAGAGGCCCAATTCTTGTCTCATTTATTGTGGATATAAAGACAAAAATCCAGGCTTGTTCAACTGGAATAAATGAAAGGAGAATTGGGACTGTGCTACCAGAGAGTTTAATCATAACAGCAAGAACAAAGCTACACGCAGGGAGCTTAATTATGCATTTGATGCATAAGAAGAATACCCATTTAATTTAATTACCATTGCTTTTATGCAGCAACTTTATAATTGAGTCCAGAGACAAAACTGTCTGAAACATCTACATATCACATGTTAACATGACATGTGCAAAGGGCTGTTTTATGAAATCAGGACTTTTCTAAAACACCTGTGGATATGATAATATCCTGGTTTTGTTTCTGGATCCAAAGATCACAATAACCTGAAACTGAAAATGCCATTTACTGTTTTCATCAAATTTCTCCTGTATTTAAAGAAAAAGAAAAATATTAAGAAAATGCTTGCAAGCATAAACATCTGATACTGACTTAAATTTTGCTCTGGCAATTATAACTGCATAAAGCACAGCACAAAACACGAAACTTTCATCAATAATAATAGTATTTTCTTCCTCTGCTGGGTAAAGAAATACCTTTTATTTCTGAATCTCCCTAACAACACGTAGGGACAAATGACAAATTTTACAAAGGACACACGCAATGGATTATTTGCAACATCTTATTTTTTGTTTGTTTTTTTACCACGTGAATCGATAGCTTGTCAAAAAGTCACCCACCTGGTTTCTGATTTGAATCATGCAACTGCGTAAATTAGGATGTGATAAGGGTCAAATACAAGTAACATATCTAATCACTGCTCTGCTTTCACAGCAGTTCAGGGTTATCTTCAGAGTAAAGATCAATGTGCTAAAAGGAAAAAAAAAATGAAGAACTAAAATAAAGCAAAATAATAAAGTAAATGTAACTAATGACAAATTAAAAATATCTGAAACAAATTACAACAAGCTGTCATGTCATTGCCACCATTCTTTGTCACAGAAACAAACAGAGAGGGAACAAAGCACTGCTAATGAAGCTACATTCTGAAGTAACAAAATACTGTAAAAGCCAGAGACAGCAAAGAAAAGAAATTCAAAATAAGGATATTTTTACTGAAAAGCACACAGTGAACAAATGACAAAATATTACATTAACTGCTGTAGCTCCCTTCCTCCTCTATTGCAGAATGAAGCTTCCTCACATAAAAGCAGGGAGGTGTGAGGAATGGCTTTTGTCCAAGTATGACACTGGGAAATGTTTGTGCCAACACACAAACGGGACAAGTCACTCTGACAAAGAGTCTGAGCTCAGTAACTGGTGTAGGACTCTCTACAAGAAAGACACAAAGCTACTACAGAATTCCAGAGAACCTGCATTCATGGGAAAGCAAACTTGCCCTCAAAACAAACCTAAGTGCTGGTAAAATTACACTTTTGACTTTTGTAAGGCCTGTGATTTCAGTGGGGATTTTAACAGAACTATACAATGTGAACAAAATGCATGATAAATGGATACAAAGCTGGCTAATGCAGGATTAGCAGCCAGGAAGGACTGATGACACTTGATATTTTCATGAGAGATTTGAAAATAAGTATAAAACTTACAGCTGGTAAGATCTGCAGGTCACATGAAGGCTGGCTGAGGGAGATAAGGGTGGAAATGGCTCCTACAGACAGAAATCTGAGAGCAAAGTGCTCGGGTCATAACCCCTGAGTAAGGGATAATAACCTGTACATTGATGCCTCTGGAAGACTCTGTGGTCAGGATAAACACATGCTGTATGATGCTGATGCACAAAGTGCTAACATGGCTATGGATGGACAAAGAAGGGAGAGTTCCAAATAAAACTGGATTAAATTAGTGCATGAAGTGATTTTATGTTGGGATAAGGCAGATGTGAGGCTGATATAGGAACTGGCCATCTTGATCTTATTCCCTCATTTCTAAAAAAAAAAAAAAAAACCAAAACAAAAAAGCCATGGAGTGCTGTAAAACAGCCACCAAAAAATAACTTGAGGGAGACTAAATTCACCCATTTATGCTTCTCAAAGACAACTGAGGAAGGACTTGATTTCTTGACACTATCACAGGCCAGATGTATCAACAGATCAAATGGCACCTTCAGGTTCCTAAAGAAAGGCCTCACCAGAATAAACACCTGGAAGCTAAACACACAAACAGCTCAGGTAGGCACTGAAAAGGAAAAGCTCGTAAGGGAAGGGAATCTACAGCTCCTTGTGGTTTTAAAAATTAAAATTAGGAATATCTGCTACTCTAGAAAACCTGATATACTAAAAAACAAGGGTTCAGGGCAGGATAAACTATATGGAATTGTGTGGGCTTTGCCATGGCAAAGGTCAGAAGGAGAAGTGTATATACTCACATCACAGTGTGAATATACACTGTCAATCTTGGATTCTTCCACCCTTTTCAGTCACTCCCACCTCACTGTATTTCAAACCAAACTAACCCCCAAATTGCACCACGAGGCAGTCACCCCCCATCGTTTACACAGCAGTATTTACAGCATCATTTATATCATTCACAGCAATAGTTCACCAACATCTTAACCCATCCTGGAGGTCGCTAAGTTGTGCAGTTGCTTCTTGCAACTTCTCCAAGAAGGGTTTCACTGTGGGTTTTGAACGTACCCCTGCCAACAGGAAGAGCTTCTGCGTTACAGCACTGGTCAATGAGCTGATGGCAGTGTTCCACCATGGATTCCAGCTGTGCTTTGTCATAGGAAACTCCTAAGAACCTCACCAGCTGCTCAACCATTGTTGCAAGGTCCTGTAAGAGAGTATTAAAACCCCAGTTTATTTTAAAATATTTTAAATGACTTTTTTTTCCCCCCCCCAGCGAGTTTAAATATTTCAAAGTGAGTCATGTCCTGACGAGCGTGAAAAACACGAGTGCAGAAGTTGCAGAAACACCACTGCCCTGAAATTCTGCCACCTTCACATTTGCTGGAAACAAAGTAATGAAGGTGAAACAGGTTGACAGAGATCACAGATACAAATATGTAACTCCTTCAAGTATTAGAAGGGGGAACTGGAAAGGAACTGTGACCATTCCCGCTTCAGAGAGCGCCACACCCTTAACTCATCACTTTGGAATTCCAGTGGTTTTTTGGAGGAGTTACAAGTTACTCTTATTTTGACCTTGGTAGACTAAAGTGATCACAAAGGTTGGAACAGCCCTTCTTTCATTGCCAGCTTCTGGGGCTGCACTCATGTGGATGCAAAGGAACTAGTGAGGTGGCCCCCTGAGAATTCATTTGCATTAATCAGTCACTAATTTGCACCTCTAGAATTCCAGGGTTCCTTAGTGGAAGACTTCTGGAGCTGCAAGGACAAAATAGTAATATTTATCAGGAAGCAGAAAGACACCAGCTTCCAGCAGCATCCATCAGTGAGCACGGCTGGGAATATACAATCAAAACCACGGGGCTGAAATAATTCTGACTAAACTTTACTTAGATCTTATTAGTTTGTTTATTTATTTATTTCAGCACCCCACTCCATCAGAAGTATAATTTACTCAGCTTTCTTGAGTTCTGCCTTGATTTTGCCTCCTTACAGGGTGGGGTTTTCCTATACATGCATTAGTTTTCCAGTCAAATAAACATCTGGAAATATTTTCATTAATCCTCAAAAATATCACACTGCAATAAGAAATGGAAACCAATGTTCTGTGTAGTATTTCCACTAGATTTCTGATTAAATTGGATTTATTAGCCATTATACTATAGGGACTCAATAATAATGTTCACCTTATGCTACATGATCATATCTAATCGTTTTCAACAGTTTCACAGAAAGCAGCAAGAACAAAATAGTCAGAATAAATGCCAAATATACAGGGAAAATACAGATTATATACTTTTTTTCCCATTGATACTGCACATACAGTAGCAAGACATTTCTTTTAATGAATGCCCAGGGCTGAGTGTAGCAAGTGCTGAATGGTTTCACTTCACTGCCTTCTCTGCAAGTAGTTTGGTGTCTGTGGGTGAGTCAGACTCCTGAGTGAATTAATATGTATATGAAGAAGCTACTGAATGCCAGTGCTTTAAAAATGGTATCAGACTTAGAGAGTCCCAAATATGGACAGGAGAAGCAGACTTTGTGCTTTATATATTTTAAACACTAGGGTGCTAAATGTGATTAAAATACCATTTTGCTACATCTAACCTACCTTGTGCATATCTTCATACTTGAGAAAAAGTACATTGGCATCCATGTGATGTTCCCAAAACTCTTGCACATGTTCAAACCACGAGCCATATCCTACTACAAAGACATTATGATTGGCATGAGGAAAATGAACACTTCTGTTATTAAGAATTCTCAAAAAGGAAAGAAAAAAAAAGGAGAAAAATAAATTAACTGGAGTGGTCCACAGCAGTGTCTAGATTTGACCCATTGCCATGTACAGCAAGGAACTTAATTTAAAAAGTTTTTCTATCAGTTTGGGATTCTCAAAACAACTGATTTAGCGTGAGGATAAAACATTCAACTGGAAATGCCACCATATTTCACGATGAACCTCCTGGAGCTCAGTGTTAATAACAGGAATTGAGCCAGAATAAAAACTGCACAGATAGCCTTGCAGAAGGCAAACTTCCAGCAGCTCCAAGCTGTGTGAATTCCTGCAATGAACACATCCCACTGCAGCTTCCTCCGCTTGTAAGCTGGACACAGCACTCATGGAAAGCTCCCCAGGGCATCCTCTAATTGCTGACAACCACTTAAACTTTCTTGAACAAGCACTGAGGACACAGATGCATAAAAATGCTTCGTGATCATTCCCAAAAAACCAGGATGGACTGACAGCATTATTTATCATTACATGTTGTGACCCTCTACTGACCAGTCTAGGACTTATTCTCTTCTACTGTTACTTTCTGAACACTCCACACAACTGCTGTAGAACAGTTTCATTTACAGTGTTATTGGTTCTCTCCGTTACACAATAAATTCAGATTGCTGATGCCCATGAGGTGCTGAGCGCTCCCAAAAAGCTGGGAGGGCTCCTGCTCCCAGCACTGCTGAGGTTACTGGGAAGCCTTAACCTTCACCCCAAAGTTTTACCCGGTTTTTTTTCCCCCAATCCTCTGATTAACTTAACATCTGCACTGGTTTGAGCCAATTTACATGTGTCCACCAGAGGTTTAGTCACTGGTAGTTGGTACTTATAGTCTAGAGAATGCCTTTGTTGCCAATATTATTAGAAAGACAACCAATTTCTTTTTTTACCAGTGATAAAAATTCCCACAAAGCACTTCATATAATCAAGGCAGGAGTTAAGCAAATATGATAAGCAGTCTTTCACATTCTTCCCCAGTATTTTTTTTTTTTGGTCAATTTTATCTTTTCAGCAGATAGAAAAAAATATTTTAAAAAACCCACAACTTTTTAGGCTTGTATTTTCAAGCCACCTTTTCCCTTGTAAAAAGAATTGTTCAGCTGGTCACTGGAACACTGATGTGTTGACTTCACGTGTGGATTTCTTAATGGAAATAACAAAAATGGAATTTTTCCAGTGCCTTTATAAAAACTGAAAATGAGTCAGCTGATTAAAATTCTCTTCCTTACAAAACCGAACCTCTTTGTCCATTGAAAGTGTTCCAGTTACCAGAATTCTGCTGCATTGCTTCCCCAGTGCAGCAGAGATGCAAACATTTAGCTAAATGCTAAATTTACTGTATGACATGCGCTCCCCATTTGCACAATCATGGCCACAGAACACGCTGCGATGTTTTATTGACTCTGGGAGGTTGTGATAAATCAGCTGCTGCAGGATGAAGGTATAAATAACTCCTGGGATTCTTACATGCAAAAGAGTACCCAGCCTTTCCCCTTTCCCCTGTCTTACAAGACCTTCTAATGTGTTTTTAATTATGTCTCTGGTCTAGAAGTTCCTGATCATGGGCTACAGGCAAACATCCCGTTTTTAGGGGTTGTAAAGGAAAAAAAATGGGAGGACAGCATTAATCCTCCCTTGCAGGAGAAAGCAGAAAAGGTTTTAAAGGCTTATTAAATACCCTCCAGGCTTGACTTTTTTCTCCCCTTTGGTATTACACAGCTCCCTCAGCATCAACTCCTCCAAATTCCAGGCTAAAGAACAGTTTGCTGCTCTGGACCTGGAGGAGATCCCACTCTCAGTGCACAGGGTGAGTTCTCAGTGCCACATTAAGAAGGTTTTGTGGAGAAATAAAAGGCAGTAGAATTTTTTGTCTTTTCCCAGCTGGAAAGTGTGGCAATCCACTGGTAAAAAAAACCAATGCACTACTCAAGGCAGCACAGCCTGAGTGGGAACACAGTGCACTGGGTAAACTTTACAAGGAGCTGCTGTAAAGCAGGTTGTTGTATTCTCATTACAGAGCTGCATTTTTCAGAATTCTCATTACAGAGCTGCATTTTTCAGGCAGTAGCAGCCTGCACCCACCTTCTTACAGGGTCTCACTTGAGCTCACTGATGGACTCCACACCAGTCTCGTGCCAACTGGAGATTTTTGTGTATTAACCATTGTCGTGCCAAGGACAAACCTTGAGGTTTCGGATGAAATTTAAATATTAAAAGAATTAACAGGGAAGTTAACTCCCAAAACTAAGGAACAGGAAGGCTCCTGAGAAGTAGTGAGGTAGAACTGAAATCAAACAGTGCTGGGAGTATTCACCATTTTTCACAAGGTACCTGGGTGCCCTGCAAACTGAATTTTAGAAGAGTAGACCAGAGTTTTGGCTGGCCTAAGTGGAACACTGCTGAGCCCACGGGGTCAAACACTGCAAGGCAATTAATCACAAAAGGCATGGCCATGGTTTGCATGGACAGATCTAAGTCCCTGTAGCAACCTCCTTGCTGTATATGCAAAACAAATGCACCTTTATCCAGTTCACTTCTGTACTTGCAGAAGGAATGCAGAGATGAAAATAAATGTGTGCAGAGAGAACAGCTCCTTACACTTGTCATTCATAAACCTTCTGCAGAACTCCTGAAAGGTTCCTCTGTAGCTCATGGTCCTTAGGGAGCGGTGGAACTGGTAATAAGACACCACCAGGTCTTTGGGGTTGCGAGCCATGTATATGACCTGTGATTTGGAAGGGCAGGGAAAAAAAAAAAAGGCACCTTATTGAGTGATTTTTCCCCAGCCCCTTTCCCAAATCACTTAAACTTTAACTATGCCAACATAGTTAAAAACCCATGATTTCGTGTAATTTTTACCTTTGAGTTGCCATTGTGGAGGTCTGAAGGCAAGAACCGGTATGGCAGGTGGCTTTTTATGAGGCGAGGAGATGTCAGTTCCTAAAATAAAGCAGAGGGAATCTTTCCTTACTGAGCACCAGCAGCCTGGCACATCTGTCCTGTGAACTGTCACACTTGAAGCCCTTTGCTCCACTGAGTCCCATTCACAAATTCACTTCTTCAATTAATAAGAGTCTGGGACTAGAAATTAGGTCAGAGAGTTACACCTGGTTTTTAAATATAAAAAAGCTGAATAATGTGTTGGGGTTTTTGTTGTTTGGGGTTTTTAACCCCCTTTGTTTTTAAAGCACTTCCATTTGTAGCACCTTCTCAGAAACAATATAATAGTTGAGGATCCTTGGTATCAAACTTTGTTTCCAGTGATGCTTCCACTAAAATTCCTTGAAAACCATTGGAAGTTCTGAAAACACTGCCCCTAACTTCTTCAAGATGTTACCCTTGCATTTTATTTTATCCTCAGAATTAAGCCCAAAACTTTATCTGAGAGTGCATGAATGTTTCAAACTGAATATTCTTAATAGTGCGGAAGTCATTCCATGCAGGATATTCCAAACTCTTCAAATTACACCTACAGAGTCTGTAGAGATCCAGGATTTGTGGACCTAAAAATTTAGATGTTAAAATTCAGAGCAGTGGGAACACAAATCCACAGAACTCTGTAGCTCCTCTTTCACAAATTCAGGAAAGGAATCAAAGCAAATCAGCCTCCTTTGGGCAGCTTCTGTTTTTACACAAGCAAGAAAGGCCTGGAACTTTTATTCAGAAAGCCCACTGCCAAGATATTTAGGACAGGAACAAACATCTAAAGCATTAAATAAAGTACAATAAAGCTGAATAAAAGCAATTTCAAAATAACCTAATAATACTCTGAATCATTCCAACAAGCTGAGCAAGACCAGCGATGAAAAGGACAAGGACACGGGGATGAAATGAAGTGATAAGGATGGCACCGAGGAAAACAGATACCCAAACGCTGAAAGGCTTTTCTTTGCAATAAATTGTACCTTGATGATGTCCAGACCAGGCTGAGGGTACTCTAGGACTGGAAGCTGTTCATCTATATTCATTAGTCCAATCTCATCGGGATCAGCTCCCTGACTCACCAGATAAACCACTTCCTGCAGCAACCCTGTGCCTGCATAAAGCAAACAATGAAAGAGAACAGACTGTATTACAGTTCTTATCAAAACAGAACCACAGGAAGGGAGACCTAAACAGGGAAATAAAGGTAAGTCTTGTCCTCAGCAGTCTGCTGTGAGCTAAGTCTGTAACTACTGGTTTAACACAGTATGTCAGCTCAATAAGATTTAAGTACATTTCTGCCTCCAAACCATTTAACCTGGGAATTGCAAAGCATTTAACAAAAAGTTTTCCCCCTCCTCTAAATGTTACAAAGGCAACATACTATTATTTCCATTTTAGAAATAAAAAAAGAGGTAAACTGAGGTCATCCAAGTTCACAAAATGCATTAGTGGCTGCACTGAGACAGTGTCCTTTCTTCTAAATTGTAGGCAATGCCCCTGTTATGCAATGATTTGGGAGTCTATTTATGCCTCCACGTTATGGACTGGATAAACCACTGAAAGCATCAATAGTGAGTCAGTCATAAGCCTTAGAGGCCCCAATTACATCTCTCTGCCCAGTTCTGAGGGCATTTACAAAGCAACCATCAGATATTATGGCCTTAATGACTGCACTCTGGAAAATTAATAGCTGCTCCAACTGGAAGTTTGGACAGGGAAACTACTTCAAATGACTTTACCTTCAGGCAGGCAGGAAATCCCCCAACACAACAAACAAAGGTACAGAGTTATCTGACAGAGGTTTAGGAAGAGAAAGGCACAGGCTTTTGGTGAGATGGAGGAACAGGACGGGGAGAGATCACAAAGAAAACTACAGTCTCATTATTCTGATATTTTTTTAATCTGACACAGGAACAGTTAAATGAGGCTGATGGGTAGAGTGAGCACAGCCTGGGTACCATGTGAAACAACACATGCCTCCAAGCATTGCTTTGGAGAATAAGCACTTTAAGATACCTCTGTTCCCTGACTGATTGGTGGGTAAATTAAAAAGGTTTTTGGGGGAAAAAATAAAGAGACACTTTTACATTATCATCACCCACAGAGACAGTTGTCATAGACTTAATACACCCTTGCCCCTGAGGCTGTTCACTCTGCATTTTTAAGTTCAAGCATATATTTTATATATTAACATTCATGCAGTTCTTCAGTATCAGTCCTTGTGACTCTGAATGAGCACAACCCCTGTTCTCATTAAATATTTATTCTGACAGGAGACACCCTGGTCCTCCATAATTTATTTCTGTATTTCCAATTCCACCTGCAAAGAAAAATGCTATTACAGCAACCTTGTTCCATGAAAGGAAAAGAAATGGCTGTGTGGGGATAAGCAACACCACCAGGACCTTCTATTTTTTCATCGCTCAGCTGCTCTCCCAGCAAAAAAGCAGCCATGTCCACATTACCTAGTTCTGCTCACCCTATGAGCAGGCACTAGACTTGGCTGTACTGCTGAGAGATCCATGGAGCACAGCAGAGATGGGACATGACACGTTTTTCCATGCAAAGTGGGTCTCTGTAAGCTCAAAAGTCTTCACCTAAATGAGTTTCCACCTACAACAGTGACCCATTGGAAGAGTAATGCTGGGCACCCAAGGCAGCAAAATAAAAATCTCCATCAACTATACATTCTTTAAAACAGTGTTTAAATCTGTGAATCTTTGTATTAATTAGCATGCACACACACAAATTGCCACTGTATGCCTGTAGAGCTGCACATACTCCCAACATCCTATTCCAATTCACACAGCAAACAGAATTTCTGCAATATTTCTTCTGCAAAGGGGAGGATTGACAGTTTAGAATCCTGGCCATCCAGTAGGTTAGAATTCCTCCTCCCTCGATTTCTGATTTCTCTCCCCCTTGAACTCTGTTCTAGTTTTCGACTTTTGCCACTCACTGTATTAGCCTGACTTTTTTCCACATTAGCAGTCAAGTTACTCTGCTTAGGACTTCCAGGGTCCCAAAGAAAATGAAAGCTAGAGAATTCACTTTTGAGGGAACCATTTTTTTTTTTTTAACTTGTCATCCTTAATCAATTATCAGTTATTCAGTTATCACACACACACACATTCCAAGAGCTCCAGGTAAAAAAAAATCATCAATGACCTCATCTTATTAAAACATCACAAGCTTATTTAAAAAAAGAAGAGCCTTTACACATATAATTAGAATATGTATGACCTCCTCACATTTGATCCAACTGACTTAATGATCTCTGAAGATGTGCAAGAACCACCATTTTATGGGTGGAAGGTAAATTGCTGAAACTGAGATTTTCAAAGGGGATTATGTGAATAAACTCCAGTAATCCCAGCCTATCACAAAGCCTGGCCAGATCTAAATGTCACAGAAGTTTTCTCACTAAAAGGGAAAATACTTGTTGGACAGAAGAAAAAGGTGGAGGAAGCTAAAGAAAAAAAAATCAGAGCTTCTCTTTATCCTCTCAAGATTTCTGTGGTTTTTTTCCCTGGAGACAATGGATCCTGTGCATCTCCAGGATATTCCACTGCTCTCTCCCTGTGTTGCTGAACACACAGACACATTCACCTCACTTGGGATGGCACAGAAGAGTAAGCAATCCCTGACAAACAGGATTCATCTGTCAGCCTTTGGACATGAGGCACCAGTTGCAACATGAGTAAGTCCCCAGAAATTCCACCCTTCCTTCTCCCATCTGCAGCAGGTCCATATTTTATCCTGGAGGAAGACTGCTGACCCTCCAAGGTCATATTGCCAAAACAGACATGGGATTCATTTCCATCTATCCAGTTCCAGCTAAAATGGAGCCAGTCAGCATCTGAGGGGCTCCAGTGCAATGTACCTGAGAAATGCTCTTCCCTGACAAGCTCTTCTCTTATGTCAATAAAACACCCTGGGAGAAAACAGAGTGTTCCAGTTTATCACACATTGTCTGGAAAGAGAGGGGCTGGGAAACAGCTGTGATAAGCTACTGCCAGAACCTGCAGGGTTTTAGGAGATCCTTTTAAATCATCTGTGAACCTGCATTTCTACTTGGCGTGACAGCAGGGTGAAAGTGTTCCAGTCGGGATGCACCGTCCTTTTCTGAGATACCTGCCTACTGATGCACAAAAATCAGGACTCATTAAAATTCCTTTCGCACCTCTGATGGCTGGGAACTCTTCCTTTGTCCCCCTTCTCACGGCCAAAGCCTCAGCAGCAACAGCAAAGTCAGTTCACGGCCACGCTGCCTCTGCTCCTCCAGGAGCTGCTGCAGCAGCAACCAGACAGCACAGCAGGGCAGCCAAAATTTGGGAACACTGCAGCCACTCCTTCCTGCTCCTGTGCATTAGGGGCCTTTCAGTGCCAAACTTCATCACTGTAGGAGGGAGAAATGTTCTGTGGTGCAGCTGTTCTCCAGCTCCTCTCAGTATTTTCTGGCCACCGGCCTTTATGGTCCCATAAAGCCACCAAACATCACAGATTTCTTCTAAGTGAAGTGGCAGATATAAAACAGTAAGATTTCCTGTAAAATTTTGCTTCCCCACATCATTTCTTTCAGTTCCTCCTCTCCTGTCAGACTAAGATGCAGCCCAAGGATGCCAAGGCCTTTGGTATAATCCTTTCATTCACCCCTTGTTTGGAAACCACATGGAAAAATAAACTGCATACTAATATTAGCATTAATAACCTCACAATCCCAATTAGCTGTACTTTGATCTGCTGATGTTTGATCAAGATTCAGCTAATACAATGCAACAGATCCATTATGACTCATAATTTTTTTATAGCATTGGTAGAAGCAAGAGCTCATTAAAAATGAGGGCTGCTAAAGCTGTCAGGTTGGTCTAGCAAGGGCTGTACAGCAAAACCCCACATTTTTGTTTTAATTCCCTGCAAACTCCTTCCTCCTTCACTAATTCCAGTGTAAATCTGCAGGGAGGCAGGACAGATTCATCTTCACACTACAAGAGTGGAGGTAAAATCAGATTTTTCCATTAGAAGACAACCACTTCCAAACCAGAAAAATACTCCCTCTTGAGGTCTGTTTGCTGAAGTTCTCCTACATGTTGAAATTCCACCTGGCTTAAGAATAGGAATTTTCACTAAAAACTAGAGTTTTAAAAATAAAAATAATGTATACACCTTGATGCCATATTTTCCAATTCTTCTGTTCCTAAATAAGACTTGGGATTCAGAACAAAGACTGAAATTGTGATGTTATATTGATATTATTTTTGTCTGACAATTATGTATGTATTAGAGGGCCCAATTTTCCAAAATCTCCTCTTAGATTAACGTCCCTTTTTACATGACCTAAATGCCCCTCAGTCAATAGTGACCTGTCAAGGGAATCTGTGGTTCATGAGGAAACTGAATCCAGATCTTCCATAAGTGAAAGCAACAACCTAACTAAGCCTGGATTTAAAACAAGTATTAAATGCACATTCTGTAAGCTCTGCCTTAGATTTTTAGACTTAGTAACCAGTTTATTTTTCCACTTGCAGCTACCAGCTTTTAAACTAAAACCAGCAGGCTTAATTCTGCTTGTCTTTCACCACATTCATCAGAGGATGCAGACACGGGTCCATTAATTCTGAGGTGTGTTCTCAATGTGTTTGGCCAGAGGCTACAAACAGCAAACTACAAAAACTATTTAGGGGTAAAATCTACTTTCTGTTCGGTAGAAGTGCTCTCACTGAACTGTTTACACACGTGTATTATCCCCAGAATTAGGGCTATGTGTAACAGAGCATCCTAAAGCAGAGCTGTAATGAACTGGCTACAAAACAGTGCTATTTCTGGCTCATGCATTAGTACTGGTTTTTAAAAAATGGCCTGAGTCCTAACTCTCCCTTACATTAGCACAGCAACTGCTCAATAGAGGGCAGGATGAAAAGTGTAGACCTGACCACAGTGCATCTTGGGCTGCTGAGGCATCTCCATTTCCACACAGCAAGGCAGGAGATGAGGATTTTCCACATCTAACACCAGCCTGGAGAAGAACACCTCCTGACACCTGGGATCCTAAAACTGGAGCAACACCAGTAAATAAAGCACAGCAGATCCTGCAATCTGGGAGGGTTTGTG